TACAGGAATGATTCAGTTACCAAGTCTAGCTTGTGCATATTGGTCAGCATTTCCCGGTTCAATGATTTTTGTCAGAGGTATGGCCCTTTTTTTAAGTTTGTCCGGACTACATCTCTTATACCACAAATGCAATTTCAATGAAACTTTACAGGATTGATCTGTTGCTCAAGTCCTTGCACATATTGCACAGGTTTTCCGTTGAATTTGAATATATTTTGGCAAGTTTGATGAAAAGGTGGTTTTTTTTTTCTGTGTGTTGCCAGATACATAAAAGCTTGTCCGGACTACTCCTCAAAAACTACTGGTGCAATTTCATCCAAACTTTAAAGGAATGATCAGTACCAAGTCTAGTTGTGCACTGTCTGTCTGTCTGTCTGTCACAAAAACTTGTCCCAACATGAAATTGGCCATCATGAGGCGACACATGTGATCACTGATCGCTCTTGTTTGTTATTTTGGTGTTTTTTTAACATGATACCTTGATTTCTTAACTAAGTTAGATAAACTTATAATATATGAGCCACTTGTCATTTGTAAATAAATCTAGGTTTTGCAATGCAAATACAATGTTCATCCCAACAGATCAAAATCAAGCCAGCAATAAATAATAATTGCCTTTGGTGTTTTTATTTTCTTCATTTGTAGGTGGGCTTTACTAATAGATTACTGCCACTTTACTCCAAAGTGGGGTTTTGGGGTATCATTCACCTTCAGTGATAGTTCTAGTTTTATCCAGTATAAACATGGTAACATGGAAATGAAAAATAAACCTTGTTTTTTTTCAGTGTACTGCACCAATAAACTAAATATGGAGAGAGAAGCTTAGTCACCAAAGCAGTCAACACCAAAATACACACAATGGCCAGGGCACTGAAACTTGGAAGAGTGAAAGAGTAAAGTAGTGCGTTTTTAGCTAACAAAGTGACATTGCGAGCTTTTGTCTATCTTTCGTCCGTAAACTTGATCTTTAAACAACATCTCATAAATTGCCAAGCCAATTTCATGCAAACTTACGATATTTGTCTAGTCAGTTTTTTGTTTTGCTTGCAATCGTTATATGACATGACTAAAGACATTTAGTTTTATTCTTAAGTTATTATGTTTGTATAAGACCCCAAATATATTGGTTAAGATTCATTTTTACAAATTTGAAAGCCATTATTGTTTCTAGTCAGTTTTTGTTTGCTTGCAATCATTATATTACATGGCTAAAGACAATTAGTTTTAATCTTTAATAGTTATGTCTATATTTGTATAAGACCCAAAAATATTGTTAAGATTCATTTTTACAATTTTGAAAGCCATTATTGCTCTAGTTTTGTTTTTGTTTTGCTTGCAATTGTTATATGACATGACTAAAAGACATTTAGTTTAAATCTTTAGTTATTATGTCTATGAGGGGCGTCCGTGGCCGAGTGGTTAAGGTCATTGACTTCAAACCACTTGCCCCTCACCGCTGTGGGTTGGAATCCCGACAGGGACTTTGGAATCTGTCTTGTGAGGAAGCTATCCAGCTAGCTTAACTGAACGTCAGTGGTTCTACTCAGATACCCGTTCGTGCCTGAAATAATGCAAGGAAGGGCACCTGAACGTCACGATATGACCTTTACTGTGTTGATGTGACGTAAAAACCCAAAACAAGCAAACAAAAAAATTATGTCTATGAAATTCGTTGTTTGTATAAGACCCCAAATATATTGTTGTGATTAATTTTTAACAATTTTGAAAGCCATAATTGTTCGTGTCAGATATTGTTTTGCTCTCACAATCATAATGTTATATGCCATATGAGTTTAAATCTGAAGGTATTATGTCCATGAAATATGTTGTTTTTTTAAGACCAAAATATATTTTTTTTTGAGATTCATTTTACAATTTTGAAAGCCATTATTGGTCTAGTCTGTTTTTGCATAACACATAACGCTATTGTTAGTATTTTATTGTTATTAATAGTAATTTGTCTAAGTGGATGTCGAAGTATGTATGATTAATCCATGCCAGTTCATGTTTGAATGAAACTTTTTGTCCAGATAGAAGATTTCAAACTGTAACTTTTCTGATTTTTATCTTTTAACAACAATATTATATTTCCCATTTATGGTGCTAAGAAATACTGCAACATGTGCTGAATAATAGCTATTGTCAAACATTGTTTATATGCTCCCGAAAAATTTCGGCGGACCATATAGTCATTGGTTGTCTGTCCGTCTGTCTGTACGTACATACGAACCTGAATTCGTGTCCAGCCCATAACTTTGTTATTTCAAGTTGGATTTTAAAACTATTTCACAGAAATGCTCACCATATTGAGACGACCTGTCGCCCGCAACATTTGGGTCGCTACCTTGAAGGTCAAGGTCACACCATGACCTTGAACAAAATCATGTCCTGCTCATAACTTCGTTATTTGAAGTCGGATTTTAAAGCTATTTAAAAGTATTGATCACCATATTGAGACGCATGTGTCGTGCGCAGCATTTGGGTCGTTACCTTGAAGGTCAAGGTCACAGCATGACCTTAATAAAAAATTGTGCCGGCCCATAACTTGGTTATTTGATGTCGGATTTTACAACATTTTCACAGAAATTATCACCATATTGAGACCATGTGTCGCACACACCATTTGGGTCAATACCTTGAAGGTCAAGGTCGCAACATGAACATTGAAGCAAAATCGTGGTCTCCGGCCCATATAATTCGTTATTTGAAGTGGAATTTACAACCTATTTCACCGAAATGATCCAACCATATTGTGAACGGATATGTCACAGATGCCCAAACATTTGGGTCCATTACCTTTGGGAAGGTCTAGGTCCACAGCATGACCCTTGAAGCAAAAAATGTGTAGGCCCATAACCGTCGTTTATTTAAAGTGGGATTTTACAACTATTTTGGGAATTATCACAGCCTTTGAACTTTGTCTGGGACAATCACCCTGAAACTCAAAAAAGATATACTTTTCTGTATCTAAAGGATCACCCCCCTTTCCCAACCGGCCTCTTTGTTTTAATTGATTATTAAAGTAATAATGAACAAATTCATGATAGCATTCATTAAACTAAAGAGTGGAAATTTATGAAAAGTCCAAATATGAATTAGAATCAGTTTGCGCTAATAAAATGTGTGTAAAATTTATCCATTTATTGGGAATTAATTTCTTTATTTTACAAATTTTATCAAATTTCATTTTATTCTACTGATATGTTTGTAATATTTCTTTTTATTTTCTATTGAAAAAATGTGTTTAAACCAATATGTATTTGTTTTCTTATAATTTAGCTAGTTTTTATTATTCCAATGTTGTTTGAAAAAATTGTTCGCCAGAACTTTACCAAAATGTTTGCCAAAATATCGCCATAACATATTTGCTGAAACTTGCAAATATGCAAATGAAGTTTGCCGCAGTGTTACCAAAAGCTTCTGGCGAACATCCGCAAACTTACTATGCAAATGAAGTTTGCTGCAAATTTGCCGCAAACTTTTGGCGAACATCTGCAAACTTTTACCATGCAAATGAGGTTTGCGGTAAATTTGCCGCAAACAGAAGCTACCTCCCCCTATAGTTAGCGGCAAGTTTGCCGCTAACCTCATGAGTTGCGGCAAATTTGCCGCAAACCTCATTTGCATGGTAAATAATTGCTGAAAGCAGTTTGCCGCAAACTCACCGCAATGTTTGCGGCAAACTTGCCGCAATGTTCACCAGAGAGCCCTTTTTTTGGTAAGGGTTTCCATACTTTCACTGTGAAAAAAAAAATGTTTCACTGTTAAGTAATGTTCCGTTTTTTTCACTGGTGTCTTGCTAAAACACGTTTTTTTTCCCTAAATTCTGTCAGATTACAAAATTCAAGGGAAAGTCTTTCAAACTGTAATGCCACAAGAGCAAAATGTATATTATAAACAGATAATTCAAGTTTTTCCTATAAATAAAGGATTTATTTTCATCTTGTGGGAGGAAAACAAACTTACTGACGTGATGTCGTAAATGACGTCACGTTGTATTATTATTTACCATTAGGTTAAAATGTCTTTTTAAACGTTTCTTTGCATATAATAAAAAGAACCTTTGTTTAGTTCAATGTTAGATCTGAATATATGTCACCGAATAAGAACCAAAAGCTATATTTCACGATTGGCGCAGCCTCGAGTGACATATGAAATTCTCATGTTCACAAAAATAATTATCATATTTCACTCGTGGCTACCGCAACTAAGGAAATTTTTATTTCATAACACTCCTGTTTCTACAGAGAAAAAACTTGAATATCCTCTATATATTAGATAGCCTCTTGCAAGCATTATATTATTTTATTCACATTATTTTATTCAACAAGTTCAATAGATTATGTAATGAGCTTATACGAATTTAATATTCTATTTATCTTATACCACAAATTAAGATCGTTCGGAGTGAAAAAGAATCAGTTTTCATTGACGGGCCTATATTAGTAAAACGCTAACGTTTTAGTGCGCGTCATAACTCTATGATTATGTAATGAAAATGACGTCACGTCAAAATATTTGCACATGTTTACAATTAGAAATAATTACATATATCCATATTTGTGTCCTCTCATTTAAGGTAATGTAAATATTCTCGTATAATCATTCAATATAAATAAACGTTACAGAACAAAATGTTAATTTTATCTATATTTTTCGGACTTGAGCAAAGATCCTTGTTCACAAAAAGAAAAAAGAAAAAAAGATTACAATACATAATCTAAACGCAAATACATGTAAGCAGATCTTACAATCGTCACATCAAAATATATGCTCGGATTCAACTCGTATTTATTCAACTCGTTCGATAAATTCAGTATTGAACTTACACTCAGCAAATATCCTCAATTTATCACATCCTAATGCCGCGATTGCGACAAGTTGTAAATAAACTTTACAAATGAAATGTAAAGTAGTGTTATTGAAAATTGCTATAGAGTTTAAAAAGATATTATAGGTAAATAAAGGTATTATGTTTCGTTGACTATTGTTTATTTCAGGTTGTCCTTGGGGTGATGAATATACTGACTGTACTCAGAGTCATTGCACCAATGATTTTTCGAAATGTTGCCAAACCTGTGCCGCAACTACTACAGCTTTAACGACAGCCGCTACTTCTACGACATCGACAAGTAAACCTTTATCGACAGCCGCTACTTCTACGACATCGACCAGTAAACCGTTACCGACAGCCGCTATTTCTACGACATCGACCAGTAAACCTTTATCGATTGCCGCTACTTCTACGACATCGACCAGTAAACCTTTATCGACAGCCGCTACTTCTACCAAAGCGACATACTCTCCTTCAGCAACGGGAACTATTAAAACTACAGCAAAAACTGCTGATACTACTACCACGACCAGTGAGTCTGTCGCAAGAATTTCTACAACAAATACACTCATTACATGTGTATTGAATTTCATCATTCATTATGTAATTATAGGCTTATTCATTGGTATCTGAACATTATGTATTTAGATCTATAATAAACATCTTTAATGAAAAAGATTTTTTGTTTATATACACATAACATATCATAAACATAATACAACTAAAATAGTTAAAGATTGATATGAAAATGATAAAACTTTATAAAATAAAAAGCATATGCAATGATAGGACTTTTAAAAGTTAAACCTTTAAAAATATAATCTTGCTCATAGAATTTTAGCAAATGTTGGCAGTTTTTAGTTTATTCCCAAAGAAAAGTTTTTAAAAGTGCACTTTAATCAAAAAGGTTAAAAAGTAGGATAGCGAACTTCGTTGTTTTTATCATTTTTTTTCTTCAGTAAAATCCATTTTACCATGCAAAGCTTAAGAAAATAATCTGCTCTACTTTAAATATTCATTCTTTGCCGCTGTAAAAATAGGGGGTCTTTAAGTTAAGAGTAATGCAAAAAAAAAAAAAAAAAAAAAAAAAAACAACATTCAAAACAATTGGATGAAAATGCACATTGTATTGGATTGTGACTCGCCATGAGAAACAGTTAACTGGGCAACTTAATACATTGTATAGAGGACATTTGTTTGTTTTGCATGTAAGATTGAAATATAATTTCACTAAGTGAACACCAGATGCAATATTTTAATAGTTTTGAAAATATAATAGCTGGTGTTTACGAATGAAATATATTTAAATCTTATATGTAAAACAAATAAATTTTCTTTTTATTTCATGCTTTTTCAGTGATTTTAACTGATTTTGCCGCGTAACGTCATGCATTCTCCTTTGTGACGTCATCACATCATGACATCACATCACATCATCAATTTTGAAATATAATAGTTTTGTTAAACTTTCTCTAAATTTGTTATATTTTTAACATGATGTATGGTGACATCGACTTTCTTTTCCTAAAGAAGCAAAATTTACGCATGACAGCATTTATTTCTGCCTGTTTAGTAATGATTTTTTTTCATCCACATTCAGATATAGTCCGGCTACAGTGAAAATTATATTTTATAAATTTCACTAGTGGTTTATCAGAATATAATCATCTGATATATTACAATAAAACACTGCATGGAAAGCATGAAATATACCACTTCATCAGTTTTCAATCTTAATGAAATCATATCGAGCCTTTTGATAAAAGTCGTTTGCACTGTTGTCATTGATCTGTAGGGGTCCATGTGAAAGGCGATGCTAGATTATATATATTATTACATAGCACATTCAGTAATAACTTTAGCAAATCTGTTAGTCATTTGCTAAAAAAGGAAATGTAGGTCGTCAACAAGATAGCTTTATTTTGAAAGTGCATGTCATTTCATAATCTCTGGATTATTGTCATTGGTTTTATACAAGAAAGCCCATGGTTGAAATGAACTTTCATACATTAAATCTTTACAAAATAAATACAAACATACTTTGAGTTTTCACTTATTTTAAAAGTTATTAGTTATTATTCAAACCATATTTTCACCATTTTTAGTTTACCCCTTAAAGGGTATAAAGCTATATTTCATGAAATATATTTATAACACAATCTTATGGTCGATGCTTGAAAGAGATTTTAACATAGGATGTCCCTGTAATTGGATACTCCTGAATACTACACGTAAACAGAATAAAATATTGCAGAACAAACTATGTAAGGATAAATCAATTTAGCAGTGATTTCATAATACGTCATTTGCTTTTAACAGTGTACAATATAAAAGAGGAATGTCCAATCATTCCTGTTTATTATGGCTCTTTTGGTCATTTTAGTGGTTAAACTGGTACATAAAAATCAAGGCAAATTTATATAAATGGACAATTCTTTATTAAAATCATTGAAATATCAAAAGCATTTTTATTAACAGATCAAATATTTACATACACAATTCACATTTCTAAATTAACTTCTTATATATCTAACACTTCTTGGCCACAATTATTCTGCTACAACATAATGTTCGGTGCCCGAACATTTTGTGAAATGAAAAATAAATGAATTACTTCATTGACCAGACTAAATTATCAAATCAAAGTTTTAACTAAAAATGTTAGGGCACCGAACAATTTCCAAATTAAAACAAAGATTAACTGACAATAAACCGAAGCATTAAATACAAGATTTCATTCAAAATGTTAGGGCACCGAACATTTTGCAAATTAAAAAAAGATTTACTAAAGATGGACGCAAGTGTTTAGTCAATGTTTTAACTAAAAATGTTAGGGCACCGAACAATTTCCAAATTAAAACAATGCTTTACTGACAATAGACCGAAGCATTAAATACAAGTTTTCATTCAAAATGTTCGGGCACCGAACAATTTACAAATTAATTTTTTTTTTTACTGAAAATGGACTTATAATAAGTGTTAAATCAATGTTTTAACTAAAAATGTAAGGGCACCGAACAATTTCCAAATTATAGAAAAGATTAACTGATGATAGACCGAAGCATTAAATACAAGTTTCCTTTCAAAATGTTAGGGCACCGAACAATTTACAAATTAAAAAAATATTTACTGACAATAGACTTAAGTGTTAAATCAATGCTTGAACTAAAAATGTTCGGGCACCGAACAATTTCCAAAATAAAACAAAGATTAACTGACAATAGACCGAAGCATTAAATACAAGTTTTCATCCACATTCAGATATAGTCCGGCTTTTTCATATAAGCATTTCATACAAGCATTTCGGAAGTCTTTCTTTTTCATTCAAACAACAACTTTTGCAGAAGATCTAAACATAGCTTTATGGGTGGCAGGTGGTTCGGTTACATAGATTCAGGAGTTTGCGTAGCTTGTAACACAATAAACAACTCAAGATAAATTTGTGTTGTAACAGGGCTTTTATTTAAGCCGTAAACAAAGTATACTATAGTACATTTAAACATGACTAGAATAACAGAGACATATTAAAAGTTGAAAACTTATTGTTTTATCTGGGGAAACAAATTCCGCCAGACAACAAACATTAAAACATAATTCTCATAACAGAAATAAATTTAAACAAACAGAAATAAGAACAAATTCCATCCTGAAATATGAAAAACATCTGAATACATACAAATGTGTATAATTGTGTCTTTATGTGTATCTCGTTGTTAAAGAACCGTAACTTGTACAATTTTAAGAATAAAAATGAAAAAATTTAAACGAAGGAGGCAAAAATTTAGGAGCTCTCAAAGCAAATAATTGTGGAGGGGGAAAGGGAGGTGGTGGAAAACTAAATTTTCATGTGAAGCTATCAAAAGTTGTACATGAATGAAAGCCACGCGCTTTGTTGCTTTGTTCAACGAAATGACTGAGTGCGCATGTGCAACTATATCCAAATATAGACATGCGTTACCCTGTTAGCTTACTGTAAATATTCTAAGCTGTACATACTATACAATAAAGAGGACGGCTGCATTGTAAATACCCTAAACCGTAATTACTATAACACAAAGAGCAAGGTGCTTCCGACAAAATTATATTAACCACCTCTGCCATAAATCATTTTATGATAATAAAATATATTTATGAGTGGCAGGTGGTTCGGTTACATAGATTCAGGAGTTTGCGTAGCTTGTAAAACAATAAACAACTCAAGATAAATTTGTGTTGTAAAAGGGCTTTTATTTAAGCCGTAAACAAAGTATACTATAGTACATTTAAACATGACTAGAATAACAGAGACATATTAAAAGTTGAACTTATTGTTTTATCTGGGGAAACAAATTCCGCCATAAGCATAAAGGCCTTTATTCCCAGAATCAGGTCTTTATGCCCGCCCAGACAAGCAAACTCCGGAAACCATATTAGAAGTAATAATTTTTGAAAATTAATTGAATCCTGATTAATAACTTAGTATATCAATAACTCAGATGAGGTAATTATAAACTGTGACTATTGGGGAACCATAAAATGAATTGTCCTAAGTATGTAAAATAACAAACTAGTCAATGCATTACTGCAAAAATGCATAGTTGATGAGAAAACAAAATACTTATAAGTGACATTGTTAAATTACAAACACAAACAAATGATTAAAAGGTACAGAATGTATTGAAAAAAATAATAATGATTCAAAATAACTTTTGCCGCCTCAGTCGGTCAAAAGCTTTGACATATAATTCATATCTTTAAACTACTACAAAATAACATGAAATAAGATGTTCGTGAACATGTATTTATATGACTTCTTCAGTCAAACACAGAATGTATTGACAAATTAGTAATGATTCAAAATAACTTTTGTCGCCTCAGTCGATCAAAAGCTTGAAATATAATTCAATACCTTTTAACTATTATAATAAACATGAAATAAAGTATTTGTAAAATGTATTTATCACTTCTTCAGTCAAAACATAGAAAGTATTGAAAAATTGATAATGATTTAAATAACTTTTGCCGCCTCGATCAATCAAAGGGTTGGAATATACTTCCTATCCTTAAACTATTACAATATAGCATGAAATAAAATGTTCGAGAAAATGTCTTTATGACTTCTTCGGTCAAACACGAAGAATGCATACGCTTCAAAATAACTTTTGCCGCCTCAGTCAGTCAAAAGCTTTAAGTTATAATTCGTACCCTTTAAACTATTCCAATAGAACATCGATAAAGTGTTCGTGACATTGTATTTGTGACTTCTTTAGTCAAATAGCGTAACATATGTAAATATTATACAAAAAACTAGAACCTGAAAGATGATTATTGAAACTTTTCCTATACCTAAACAATAATGCTCACTGAATACATATGTGAGATAAAGATAAACACTTTTCCAAATGCTCGAGGTACTGAACCCAAAACTGGTAGCTTTAAATAAGATAATAATACATAAGAACTCCAATCACACAATAGTATACAAATTACCCATGCAGTCAAAGCACATGTAAAATAAAACAATTATTTGTTTAGAAAATTGCACAAACTTCCTTGCTGCCTTGCAATAGTCAAGGTGTCATTGCCGCCTTAGTCAGTCAATGACCTAGTAATTGGGGGACTTAACTATGTAAACAAATAGTGAAGGACAGTCCATATATTTGTCTTAAAATTGAGCCGAGAATGGACGTA